GAAAAGACCATGATGCTGGGAAAGACTGAAGGCAGGAGGAGAAGGGGATGACAGAGGAGGAGATGATTGGATGGCATCACCAACTCAATGGATATGAGTTTGAGTAAATTCTGGGTGTTGGTGGTGGACAGGGAGGCCTGGTATGCTGCAGTCCATGGGGTCGCAAAAAGTCAGATACGACTGAGTGACTGAACTGAACTGATCTCCCTTTCTAAAGATTATCATTATTCTGACTTCTGTCGTCTAGAATAGTCTTGCCTGATCTTGAGCTTCATATATATTGAATATATTGAGTATATGCATATTTGTGTATTTATTCTTTCATGGAACATTACGTAGATGAGCTGATAGAACAAAGTTAATATGTGCAAATCAAAGTCTCTTAGTCACTCTCCTAACTTGCTCTGCCCTACAATGTCCCTATTGCAAGAAATGATATCAATATTCATCTAGTTGCTCAAACCAAAAATTTAAGAGTCATTCTTGACTTTTCTCTCTTACCATTAAGGAGCCTAATCAGAAAATCCTGGCCTATCTGCCTTTAAAATATATTTTAAATCAGACCACTGCTACCACTTGAGTCTCAAATACTATTATTTGACCATTCCAATAGTTTATCTGACAATGTTTTCTTGCTTCCACTCTTGCCCCCTTAGTCTATGCTCTGCATAGTAGCAACAGTAATAATTCTAAAATATGTACCTTATTATGTCCTTCCTCTACTCTAAATGTACTTATCAGAACATTTAGAAAAATATTCCTCTTCCTTGTGATGGCATATAAGACTACATTATACTACTTGCTCTGTGACCATAATCCAACCATTCATCTTTTTTTTTAAGATTAACACTCCATCAGGAATTTTTTAAAAATATTTTTAAATTAATTATTTTTATTTTTGGCTGCTCTGTGTCTTTGTTGCTGCGCATGGGCTTTCCTTACTTGCAGCAAGCAGGGACCACTCTTCTTATCATGAGTGGGCTTTTCATTCCAGTGGCTTCTCTTGTTGAGGAGCACAGGCTCTAGGTTTCAGTACACACTGGCCCACTAGTTGCAGCTTGCAGGTTCCAGAGCCTGGGCTCAGTAGTTGTAGCACATGGGCTTAATTGCTCTGTGGCATGTGGAATCTTCTCAGGCCAGGGACTGAGCCCATGTCCCCTGTATTGGCAGGTAGATGCTTATCCACTGAGCCACCAGGGATGTCCTCAACTATTCATTTTTACTTCCTTATTTTGCTCCAGGCACACTAACCTCTTTTCTTCAAACATGCTAAACACATTCCCATCTCATGGCCTTTTCTCTTATTATTCCCTTTGCCTGGCATGCTCTGCCCTCAGATTTCTCACATAGCCCACTCTCTCACTTCATTCAAGCTCTGTGCAAATGTCATGTCCTCAGAAAGGCCTACCCTCATTAACTTGTCCAAAACAGCATCCCTAGCCATACTCTGTGTTTTTACCTTCCTTTTTGTCCCACATTACTCTTATTTCTGACATTGTTATATGTACTTGTTTATCTGTTTATTATCTTATCTTTCTTTCTCTACTATAACATATACTATGTTAGGGCAAGGAATTTGTCATGCTCCCTAGCAACTAAAACAGTTTGTGCTACACCATGAGTGCTTAATAAATATTTGCTGACTGAGGGAACTTAATGAATGATGAGATAAGGTATCTCTACATCATCCAAGGGGAGATGTCCAGAGGCAGCTGCATCCAGAGAAGAGAGTCTCGAATGGAAAATTTGGAAGTCCTGCCTTTTATAGGAAACTTATACATATCAGTGGATAGACTGAAAGGACATTAAAATCTAGGAATCAGCCTTTAAGAACCCCCACATTTAACAACTAATAGCAGTAGATAAGATTGCAAAGAAGGTTGAACAGAAGTCTGAGAAGTAATTTCTTGTTTGTTTCTAGTACTAGACTACTGGATCCTTGAGGTCAGAAATATAGTCATTTCTTGGTTTCCAAATATTTAGTTTAGAGCCTGACAAACAACTGGAACAAATGGATTTGTTGAATCAAGGAATATATGGAGAATACTGCTAGAGCAAAATGTGACTTATTTAATTTTAAAATTTAAGTCAATCAACCACATAATAATAATACAAAAGTGTACGTAACTACAGAATGACTATTCTGCCTTACTACCAGGCTTTATAGATATTTTCCACTGCAAATAGAAACTTTTTATTTGCCAAGGTCTAGATAAAATCATGATTGTTTTTGGTACCCTTACCAACTTTCCTTTTCATACCTTTCTTCTCTTGTTCACAAGCTCCTTAATCTTTGATCTATAAAAGAAATCTTTCTTCTAATGCTCATCTTCCAGGGTAGTACATGCTACTCTTTTCAAGGATGTGTGCTTTTACAAGTTTAGTTTTTATCACCAGATTCATTTCCCTTAGGATGGAAACCACCTTAATCGTTTTTATACCCATACTTCCTAACACCTAGCATTTTCTAAATGCTCATTAAGATAACTGCTTAAAGGAAAGATAACACCAAAAATTCCTTTTTTTTTCCAGCTCATACAGACTTTTATATGCATCAGGAACAAAGCAAGCAATTCTTTAAATTTATCCATAAACAAATGCTATAAAACTTGCTGCAGGAAATAAAGAAAATACAAATCTGAAATGAAGCAGATGTTAATAAGGTTGTAAATGTCTTGCTAAGTTTATTCTAATAATAAACTGCATAATAGAGGACCAAAAAATACAAGGCATTTTGTTGTTTCTTTTATTTTTCAATCATCACACATAACTTCAGTGTATCTGTTAACTGATTACCTTCTTCTCCTATGATTGAAATTTACAAGGACAGGGGAAATATATCATTCCCTGTTGGTATATAGTAATGCCTAGTATAGAATATATACTCAGTAGATGTTTATTAAATGAATTAATGATAGGTACTGTGGGGATAGTTAAGACCTAACCTCACACATCTTCATTTCTTAAATACAACCACACATTAAAAAGCACTCAGTTTCCTGGGCTACCAGTTTTCTTAACATATACCATACTGTGACAAAAATAAAGAAATAGAGGATTATAAAAATGATTAGTTACATTATTACCTGATTCTGAATATGAACCTGATTCAAATTTCATTATTAATTACCTGCTTCTGCCTTTGGTTTTGGAGAAATACTTTGGTCTGCTAACATCGTCATGCTAGAATAAGAACAAATTAATGGAATTCTTTTACTCTTTCAGTAACTTCTGAGAATCTTTAAATAATACTTAAAATAAGGACATTTCTATGCAATCAATTATCCTGTAGAAAAAATACAACTAGTTACAAAAATGTTAATATATCTATATGAACTAATAGTTTTTTGAAAAGGCAATTATGTGCATCCATCAGTGTGAGACAACATGTACAGAGCAAAGCATAGTATTTATTTTATTTTTTAATTAATTAATTTATTTTAATTGGAGGCTAATTACTTTACAATATTGTAATTACTTTACAGTTGTTGTAATTACAATAATTACAATGATGTGATTCACCACACATCAACACAAATCAGCCACGGGGGTACAAGTGTGCCCCATCCTAAAACTCCCTCCCACTTCCCTCCCCATCCCATCCCTCAGGGTCATCCTAGTGCACTGGCCCTGAGTGCCCTGTCTCATGCATCGAACCTGGACTGGCGATCTATTTCACATATGGTAATATACGTGTTTCAAAGCTATTCTTTGAAATCATCCCACCCTCACCTTCTCCCACAGAGTCCAAAAGTCTATTCTTTATCTCTGTGTCTCTTTTGCTGTCTCGCATATAGGGTCATCATTATCATCTTTCTAAATTCCATATATATGCGTTAATGCACTGTACTGGTATTTTTCTTTCTGACTTACTTCACTCTGTATAACAGGCTCCAGTTTCATCCACCTCATTAGAACTGATTCAAATGCATTCTTTCTAATGACTGAGTAATATTCCATTCTGTATATGTACCACAGCTTTCTTATCCATTCATCTGCCAATGGACATCTAGGGTGCTTCTATGGCCTAGCTATTGTAAACAGTGCTGTGAGGAACACTGGGGTACACATATCTCTTTCAATTCAGGTTTCCTCGGTGTGTATGCCCAGCAGTGGGATTCCTTGGGTTGTATGTCAGTTCTATTTCCAGTTTTTTAAGGAATCTCCACACTGTTCTCTATAGTGGCTGTACTAGTTTGCATTCCCACCAACAGTGGTAAGAGGGTTCCCTTTTCTCCACTCCCTCTCCAGCATTTAGAATCAGATAGATCTTAATTTAAAGCTCAGGTCTGCTACTTACACTTGAGTGGCCTTGGGAAAGTTACTTAACCTGTTTTGAGTCATGATTATCTCATTTATGCAAAAAGAATAGCAGTCTTGTCTTCTAGGATTCTTCTGATAAGGATCCCAAGTAACATGAGAGATAATGCTTTAAAAAATTAATATTCTTTTTCTGTTTTATACTTTCATAAATGAGACTGCCCCCAATCAAATGTGTGAAAGAGGAATAGTTACTATTGAAGTAAGCCAGAAAGAAAAACACCAACACAGTATACTAAGGCATATATATGGAATTTAGAAAGATGGTAACGATAACCCTGTGAGACAGCAAAAGAAACACAGATGTATAGAACAGTCTTTTGGACTCTGTGGGAGAGGGCAAGGGCGGGATGATATGGGAGAATGACATTGAAACATGTAAATTATCATATGTGAAATGAATCGCCAGTCCAGGTTCGATGCATGATACAGGGTGCTCGGGGCTGGTGCACTGGGATGACCCAGAGGGATAGGGTGGGGAGGGAGGTGGGAGGTGGGTTCAGGATGGGGAACATATGTACACCCATGGTGGATTCATGTCAATATATGGCAAAACCAATACAATATTGTAAAGTAAAAAAATAAATTAAAAAAAACTGAAAAAAAGAGAAATAAACTTCTTCTGTTTATGAGTCAAAAAAAAAAAAACCAAAAAGATCAAAGCTCAGCCTGTGATCACCAAAGTGGGATTTCTGAGTCCCCAGTGGACCTGAAAACTAAATGTGAAAAGATTATTTTTAAATTCCTATTACTGCTTTAGTGAAAAGTTGAACTCAGTAAGCAAAAAGAATTTTACTCCTTCGTATTTCCCCTTTAAATTCATCCTGTCAAAAAGACAAATTTAAAATTATAATTCAAAGACGCATATACCCCTATGGTCATAGCAGCAGTATTCACAATAGCCAAGACATGAAAACAACCTACATGTCCATCATCAGCTGAATGGATAGAGAAGACGTGGTGCATGTATACAATGGAATATACATATACATATGTATATAAAATACTACTCAACCACGAAAAAGGGTAAAGTAATACCATTTGCAGTAACACGAACACAACTAGAGATTACCGTATAACTTATATATGGAATCTAAAATATGACACAAACGAACCTATCTATGAAAGAGCAGAATCAGAGACATAGAGAACAGACTGGTGATTGCCAAGCAGGAAGGAGTTACAGGAGGGACAGAGTGGGAGGTTGAGGTTAGCAGATGTAAGCTTTTACAGATTGAATGAATAAACAACTGCATAGGGAACATACTGTATAGAATAGAGAACTATTAATATATTCAATATCCTATGATAAACCATAAAGGAAAATAATACTTAAAAAAGAATATGTATGTATAACCCAAAAACTTTGCTGCACAGCAGAAATTAACACAACATTGTAAGTCAACTATACTTCAATTGTAAAAATTGAAAAAAAAAAAGAAACAAATACAACAAATACAATACAATACAAACACAATAAATTCATCCTGTCAAAAATAGTACTTTTTTGCCCCCAAATTAAATTTCATGTGTATTCTACTGTTTTCGTGGTACTCTCTGGTAATAAACACACACTTTTAGGTAATAAAAACCCCACTATTAGTCTTCTTAAAAACTAGAGGCACTGAAAGTCTGAAAATAAAAACCCAGCCTTTTAGCACAAGTAGCTTGAGAAGCACTGCACCATTATGCTGATGCCTGCTGAAGAGAGGGTGTCTTACCCATGTCCACATGGAGAACTTGCTCTCACTGCCTACCTACCATTCAGCCTGTCTACTCGTGTTAACAGCATAAAACATTCCTCATTACTTTTGCCTCTTTAACCTGCTGGATGTCTTCAGAATATGTCACAAGAAAACCTGGATTCTGCACTATCACCATCTAGTGGCTAAAAGCGGACAATGTCAACTTCTACAGGTTTCTCAGGAAAATTGCTTGGGGAAACTGTTTTGGATTTCCAGAACTGCACTGGGGTAACAAGTAGAAACTCCTGTACCAGGTTTCTGGTAACTGTAAATCACAGAACTTTGCTGTAAAGCAAAGACAAATGAGCACACACATACCAGGGACTTAAGTATTAAAGCAAGATTAACAGTTACAATGTTTCCCTGGTGGCTCAGATGGTAAAGGATCTGACAGCAATGCAGGAGACCCAGGTTTAGTCCCTGGGTTGGGAAGATCCCCTGGAGAAGGAAACAGCAATCCACTCCAGTATTTTTGCCTTGAGAATTCCATGGACAGGGGCCTGGAAGGCTATGGTTCATGGGGTTGCAAAGAGTCGAACATGACTAAGAAATTAAAATACATAATATCACAACACCCAACTCTTATTATTTAATTTAAACCTCTTCCTTTTCCCAATCTAGCTCTGAGTTAGACTCCTGAAGTGAGGAAAGCAACTATAGCTTTTTTCCCCCCTCTATTTTCTTATTCTTTTTCCTCCCCCATTTGCTAACTACTCTTTAAGATTCTTTGGCATTGGAGCAGCAGGAAGGAATTGTAGCAAAAAATAGGAAAGGTCTATCCTGATCTTAATTGATACTATTATAACATGTCCTTGGTGCCCTTTGGGCATGACAGATAACCAAATGCTGACTCTTTCAAACCTGAAGTATTATTTTTTGAAGAGTTCAAGATAAGATTTCCCTATCCCTAGGATGCTCTCACTTGCTGCTCTTTATGATGTTCTCAAATTTTGCATTTGATGATACAATTTCCAGCCTTGTTTTTTTAAAATATATTTTTCATTGTGTTTTTAAATTTTTTTATATATTTGGCTGCACCAGGTCTTAACTGTGGCACACAGGATCTTTAGTTGCAGCATGTGAACTCTTAGTAGCAGCATGTGGATCTAGGTCTCTGACCAGGGACTGAACCCAGAACCCGTGCATTAGGAGCTTGAAGTCTTACCACGGGACCACCATGGAAGTCCCTCCAACCTCTTTCAGCCAAGTTTATTTTGTCTTATCCAAGAAGTCATACTGAACATGGTCCCTTTCAAGATGATTCCTTCTGTGGGATCTATGTCTGACATCTGGGAAATATGCACAAATCTGTGCTGTGCAAAACTTTGAAAGTATATCTAGCGTCCTCTTTATCAGCCACTCCACAGCATCTAACTGACCTTCTTGCTTTGAACCTTTCCAGATGTGAGTCAGAAACCAAATTCCAGGGAATACATGTTGAACTTTCCAAATGGTTCTCTGGGGGCTTCTTCTCTTGTGCTGTAGTGAGGGAGAAGTTTCTCTCTCTCCTTGCATATGACACGAACAACTCTTATCAAAGAAATAAACATTTTAAAAATATTTATTCATTTTTTAATTGAAGGATAACTGTTTTACACAATTGTGTTGGTTTCTGCCAAACATCAACAAAAATATTTTCAATCATTTCATCCTCTCAGTGCATTCTTACTCTTTTTTTTCAAATAACTTGGAGATTGGTGATGGGCTAATGATGAAAGAATTAGGTTTTGATCTCATCTATTACAAGCTTGACATACATGGTACTACAGAGAATGGGGGATAGAGTAATTGTCATTTTATTTTGTTCTCATCTATTGAGGTCACTTTCCAAACTCTAAGACTACATGAAAGTACATTTAACATCTTGCTAGTTCTCAAGGTTTCACAAACCAAAGGCAGTGCAGAGAAGGTGGTCAAATTTAGAACCAAAATACCTGGCATAGGGCTATTGTGTCTAGGAGAGTTTACCATGAATGTTGCAGAAAGAAAATGAAGTCAAAGTCTGGGTGGAGAACTTCAATAAGACTTAAGGGGCTTAGGGTAGTAACAAAAGCTAAGGTGAGGAAGAATCAGCAATGGAGAACTTCAGGCCCAAAATAAGGCTGCAAGTTCATCAATGACTTTATCAGTAGAGTCCAGCTCAGGTACAGAACTAGCCTTGAAACCTGCAGCACAAATCAGTAAAAATTCAGAGACAACTCATGGGACCCAGACACTCTCAAGACCCAACTTTACTTCTCTCCCACCTCTGGCCTATACATCTATATTTGCAGTGATTATTTGTCCAAACTGGGACCCTTCTGAGAGTAAAAGTCAGCTCTATTAAAGATTATGTCACAATAGCAGGTACATACTGGGACTGTCTCAGGTAAATCATGAGGCACGACCATCCTCAGGAATAGTTTCATACTTCACCATTCAGTCCTTCAGTGGATCCTGTTAGTCCTGCTTTGAAAATATATCCAAACTCTGACCTCTCACTATCTCCTCTCTTGCCACTCTGGTCCATAGTCCAATATTTTTTACTCAGTTAGGCCAGTATTCTCCTAACTATAATTTCCCTAATTCTTTGCCTTATCATAGTCTGTTCTCAATACAGCAGCTAGGATGATTCTTTCAAAACATAAGCCATATCACATCATCCTTCTAAACCCTTCCACAGCCTTAAAATTCACTTATACTTGCCTAAAATGCTTTATATGATCTGGCATCTTGGTTCTCTCACTTATCTCCCACCTCACTACTCCTCCTCACTTCACACCCGGAGCCCAAGCCTTCCCGCCGTGGGGATGGCTCCAACTAGTCCCTCTACCTGGAAGGTTCTTTTCTCCAATGAATTACACAGCTTGATCTATCTACTTCTTATGTCTCTGCTCAAAGACTACCTTTTCAATGGTGAGTCTCTGACCACACTACTTAAAAGAGCAAGTCTCTACCCTAATTCTCTGTAGTCCCCTATCTTGCTTTATTTCTCTCCATAGCATTTATTACCATATAGCATGGTATAAATTTACTTGCTTGTTAATTTATTGTTAATATCCTCCAACTAGAATGTGGACTCAATTAAGGCAGAAATTTTTTTTTTAATCAATTTTGTTCACTACAACAATTATATAGTTAGACAGATAGACAGACAGACAGACAGACAAATAGATGGAAAATATACTCCAGTAATCAGAACAGTCCTGGCATGTAGTGAGTCTTCAACAAATACTGAATAAACAAACACCTGAATTTGTGGGCTAACAATCATACTTGCTATATAACTATGAGAACAAAAAGCATTAAAAACACAACAACTTTTAAAAATGTTAGTTCTTACACTTTTCTGTGGCACTTCTGATAGTCTTCTGAAGTGGTATCTAAGGGGGAAAAAAGATCTATTAGGAATATAATTCAGGGGAGGGAAATCAAGATGGCAGAATAGGAGAACATGGAGTTCACCTCCCACAGCAAACATATAAAAAATATATCCACATGTGGAATAATTATCATGGAAAATTAACTGGAAAATGCCTATACAATCAAAGCTGTAAGAAAGATCTCCACATAACCAGCTGGGATGGGGAAAAAAAGGCATCAGGTCAGGACCTGTGCCCCTGGGAGGAATCTGTAATGAAATAAAACATCTGTGTGGGTAGACCCTTCCCCTGGGGAGCATTAAGTTAAGCCGAACCTGGGCATCACAGTCCTGGGGTCCTGTGTGCATGAGACAAACTTCCTTTCCTGCTCAGAAATCCACTGAGATGACAGGAATGAGGAATGAGGAGTCCACACATGCTGGCTTGCCAAAAATCAGGGCAAAGAGAACCTCATGTCACCTCCCAACCCAAAAGGGGAAGTACCCCAGCCCCACTCACTCTGCACCACAGCCTGAAGCAGGTTCTGGGCAGAGACTTGGTTTAGCTACACAGAGACACACTGGAGCGCCTGAGGCATGATCTGGATGGAGCTGTGGTGGCCACTATCTTGCATGCATGTAGGGTGGCATCAAAAGTGTGTGAAGAAAGGCTTTGGGACCCAGGAGGAGAGAAAGGCTTTGGGTCCCAGGAGGACCACACAGGTCCCACTGGATTTCAAAATCTTCAAATCACCAGAGGATCATCTAAGAGAGAGGGCTCTTCATCAAGGAGGCTGA